TCAGAATCCTCTTCAAATTCTCTTTAGACTGACATTGTAGTATAAGCCTTTGGCACATGGTTTTTGCATTTCTGGTTGGTTTCAAATACTAAATGCCTTCTGTAGAAGGATGTTTTATTCAGCCAGCACACACATATCCCATCTCTACTGCTTTGGTAAAGAACAGAGAAGAAACCTGTGGTCAGTCTATGTAATTACCAAATTACAAGCTAGCATAGATCAGTGGTGGCAACCCTATGAATTTTTCATAACAAAATCAGCAAGTGCCTTGGCTGATTTGTCAGGCTCAGCAATGACACGGGAGTGGCTCTGAAGATATTGATAAAGAGGAGGAGTGCCATTTTGCTACTGTATCCTCCACTCACTGAAGATTAACCATCATCTTCTCCTTATCATTCATTAGCATGTCCTTCGCATTATCATGGAAGCTCTTGGTCTGTAGTATTTATGGGAGAAACTCGTCAGACCTTAAGTTCCTGAAAAGCAATATCAATGAGGTTAGCTCCTAGCTCTGCATAGTATGCCATAGAGAAGGGTAAGATGGAAATGATCCAGGACTTCAAAGCGATAACCTCCTTGACCTATGCAAGGGATGGTTTCTCTCAAAGTGTTTTCAGTACAGCCAGAGTGCTGTCATCAGCAGGAGTAATCTCAGGTCATCCCAGCTCAGAGGTGTTGTACTAGGCTAGGAGAAGCAGAAAATACAGCAGAGTAGTGCTTCAGCAGCTTTGACCACAGTTCCCGGCTTGGGATACATAATTCTTCCTGCTTACTTCTGTCCCTGTTACTGGACCACGTAAACATGAAATGTACAAGATGATAGAGGTGATTCAGAAAAGGAAAGGACGGTTGATGCTAAAGGGCATAGCTTCTTTCAGAAGCACAGATGTCCTGGGAAGGTCTTTGACACACCCAGCTCCCTTCCTCTGAACACTTTATGGGTTACTGTCACAGCCCTGGGTGACTTAACCTTCAGTACAACACTTCACTAGTGTTGTACTAATGAAGACTCTTTACTTGATCAAGCTACTTTAGTCTTCACCAATTTCTGCTCTCTCACATGTTGATCCCATATGGTATTTCTTTTCCGGCAGCTTGCTTTACATCCTAATTAATGTGTATACAGCTTCACGTACTTCAGTTCCATGATAATTCTAAGTAGTTCCTGGAACTTCTGAAGAAATGAGGTCTGTTCTTCACTGTTTCTGTAGTGTGGTTCTGTGAACAGCCCAGAGGATCATTAATATTTTATAGTATCAATCAGCCTCAAAAATATTTCTGAACAAATGCCACTGGCATGTATAAATGCAGCTTACATGGTGTCTGCTTATACTGCATGACAAAATGCTGCTTTCTCTGTAGTGGGCTCTAGGAGGGCCAACAGATGGAAGATACCCCTCAGTATAATCATAGCTTGCTTTTCACATAGCTAAATACCACTTCATTGTTAATTCTGTCTATAAAAAGAAAAAATTTAAAACAGTAGTGTTGGGAAAAGGCAGGAATTACTGATGCTGTTGCCACAGAAGTTTTACATTAGGTAAAATACAGTGTTATACCAAACTGTTGTTTGCAAGATATGTATGTTAATTGTTTTGACAGATACAATCTTTATAGGGGATTCCTTCCCCCAAGAAATTAAGGAGTGGTTTCTACCCAAAAAGCAGAATGTCAAGTAATGCAAAAAGTTACTTTATAAACCTGTCTCAGCTTCAGCTGGGACTCTGTTCTTAGTTACCACATCAATGGTACAACTGATTGGAGTTCTTCTGCTGACCAAAGACATACAATATATCACTGGAAATTTGCAATTAGAAGGATGTGACTTACTAGTGTTGTTACTGCACAAGTATTTCTTTTGGCTAAGAATTTTCTGGTAACTTTGCAGTACGGGGTTCTATAAAAGACTTTCCACTGCTTAAGTTTGTTCCACTCACTTTTTCTTATGTGAATGTTTGTATTTGCATCAGAAGCCTGAGACAAGGGCAAGAATCTTATTGCTAGCACTCACTAATAGCATCACCACTACAGAAACTGATCTTCTGAGAGGGCACAGAGAAATGGTCTTCATTTGTTCTTTGTTTCCATGTTACCAATCATTCCAATACATCATCTGTTTTCAGAGATATTTTCAAATTTTTATCTGACTTTGCCATCTGTAATCTCTGACAGTTTTCAGACAGGAAAATGCTCTGGAATTTTTCTTCTGGATTCTAAGGACATCCCAGAGTCTCAGTCCCATTGCTTTAGAAATCAATTTAAAAAAATACCGACTTACGGGTTTTTTTTCCCCTTCTGAGAGTCCAAAAAGAAGTCTCTTTCCAGGATCTTTGTAATATAGCTTTCTGTTTTTCTCATCAGAAAGGTTGATAAATACATTCCCTTGGGCTCCTCTAATTGAAGTGATTTTCAAGCTAAGAAGACAAAGAAGACATTGTAGATTTTGTTAGCCCTCCTGTAAATCAAGTAATTTTGCTATCAAGGTGTCCTGTCTTCTGTCTTAAACAGGAAGGTTTTCTTACTTCTGACCTGCTTCCCCTTTCTGAAACTGGATTATTTCTGAAGAAGCTGAATCTTTACTTCTCCACCAGTCCTACAGTGTAGGAATCCTCCCCTTTAGTGATGTTTAAATTTGGTATTAACATCCCTAATTAAGAAATAGTTTGGCAATATTGTGCTTTCTTCTCCTTTGCTGTAAAGTGAAGTGTGTCCAGAAGTTGAAGACAAGGCTTATGGTTGTTGTTACTTCTGCTAGCAGAGTGGCTGGGATTTAGACCCTTGTTGGCAGATCATCCTTACATCATTTAAAGATACAATCCGTCTTAAAGCTTGGACCGTATTTTCCTAACTGATTTCACTGTTACTTAAATCAAGAGGTTAGCTTGCTTTGTCTTTTTGTTTGCTTGAAATTGAATACTATGTCAGTAGAAACAACCCCTGGGACATGTGCATATTGAACTTGTTTTTGTCCTTCTGCACTGGCAGGACAAGATTATTTAGGAAACAATCTGTCTGCGTCTATTTTTGGAGTGATCCAAGAAGTTACGTATTTCAAGATAAAAAATTTCCCATGGGATAGCTGACTCTAAGGATATGTCATGCAGTAACCTTAAACAAGATTTAGAAATGTCCTGCAGTGATCAACCTAAGGTCTATCAGAGACATATAACAATTGAGATTTTAGTGCTGCCACAAGCTCATATAATTTCAGCCTCACAGTCTCTCATAGCTTCAAAAATCTTCCAGTCTGTGTTTAGTGGAGGCACTCTAAGTCCTTCTTCTGTGTATGGTGAGAATATGCACATAGATACATAGACACCAGGATCAACATGAGCCAGCAATGTGCCCTTGCGTCAGAGGCAGCAAATGGTATCCTGAGCTGCATTAGACAAAGTATCAGCAGGTTGAAGGAGGTGATCCTTCCTCTCTACTCAGCAATGGTGATGCCACACCTGAAGTACTGGGTCCAGTTCTGGTCTCCCCAGTACAAGAGAGACACGGACATACTGGAGAGAGTCTGGCAATGGGCCACTGAGAACATTAAGGGACTGGAGCAGATGAGGAAAGGCTGAGAGAGCTGGGACTGTTCCCAGCAAAGAGGGAGCCAGGCTTTTTTCAGTGGTGCGCAGTGACAGGACCATAGGCAGAAATTGAAACACAGGAGGTTCCCTCTGAATATCAGGAAACACTATTTTTTACTGTGAGGGTGACTGAGCACTGGCACAGGCCACCCATAGAGGTGGTGGAGTCTCCCTTTTTGGAGATATTCAGAAGACTTCTGGATATGGTGGTGGGCAACTGGCTCTAGTTGACTGTGTTTGAGCAGGGGGAGTTGGACCAGATGACCTCCAGAGGTCCCTTTCAACCTCAACCATTCCATGATTCTGTATACTAAAAGGTTTTGTGTGTGTATCTTTTAAACCTGTTGATGTGTCTTTGGTATGTGTTGTCTGTGCCTGCATTCTCAGTTTTCCTTCAGAGTCCTTAGCTTCAATATCTATATTTGGAGTAACTGAAGGAAAACTTGCCTTCCTCTTTACATAAAACTGTGGGAGCTACACATAAAAGATAGGTATTGAAATGTGATTCTACTTAGGCTTCCAAGACTTTGAACTTCCACTAGCCTTATTTGGTGGCTTCTAGTTGTATTGAAAGAGACAGTGAGGTCCTAACCACTTTCACTTTACTGTTCGTCGTTTTGAGAGGAACACTATGCCCAGTCCAGTTAAGTCCCCTTTTCACTAAGCTGGATAGTCCTAGCCTTTTTTGTAGATCTTAGTATGAAACACACCCTGTATTTCTGATTAATCTTCTTACTTTTCTCTAAACTTTTCCAGTTACAGTGCCTTCTTTTTGAGAATAGGACATGAGCACTGCACACAATGTACAAGGTGCAGGCAAACCTCAAATGGCCCAAGTGTTGTTTTTCTCTTTATTTTCTAATAAATTTTAACATTGAAATTTTTGGGGCTTTTTTGACTGCTGTTAGGCATCAGGTTGATGGTTTTTGAAGCTATTTGTTGTAGCTGTGAGGTTTCTTTTGAATAGTAATAGTAAGCTCGGTACATATTAAATGAGGATTGGGGTTTTTTTGTGGATTAAGTTACATAATTTATCTCCTCAGATATCATGTTTCATGTCTGCATTTTCGCAAACCTTTCTTTATTTAAAAAAAAAATTGGTTTCACATTTGTCATCCTTATGTCTTTGGGTACAATAGAAGTTTAAGTGAAATGTTAAACCATTATTATGGTAACTCTTTGATTTAACACTCAACACACTAAGTAATTACCAAATAATTGTTATTTTGTGTGTTTTACAGGAGAATATTAAAAAGTGAGCCACCTTATCCACAAGAAATGAGTGCACTGTCTAAGGATATAATTCAGCGTCTTTTGATGAAAGACCCCAAGAAGAGGCTAGGTTGTGGTCCCACTGATGCTGATGAAATCAAACAGCATCCCTTTTTCCAGGTAAAACAAGCCACAAAACTCCCCAGATACCACTTACTCTACATTAGTGCCTTTGAAATTTTGTCTAAAGAAACTCTGTTGTTTTGTTACTGAATAGCTTAGGGGTGTGTGAATTGTATGAATAATTGCATTGAAGTTAGTAAGAATATCCATGTGCTTATGTATGTGGATTTTGTGCAGACTACAAGAAGAGCATGGTCTGTCTGTTTCTAACGGTTACGTGAAGCAGCCAAAAGACACGCTACTTAAAACAGAAGGTTTAATGGAAAACACTTAAATTATATGTTGGCTTGGTTTTTTTAAAAGAAAGTTTGCCGCTAACATTATTAGTAAAATGTGAGTATTAATAAAGTTCGCCATTAGTGACAAATGGCTCTTCTGTATTTTCCTTTGCCTAGTTAAATCTTTAGTCTTGTTTAGTAGATTTTAATTCTGTTCAGATTTCATTGCATTAACATTTAGTTTCAAACAATGACGAAGATCAGATTTGAGTACAACATCTATACTGTTCCATCCGTTTGTGGTTAAAATTGTTTGTGTGGTGTCTTTGAGAAAACTAAGAATGTATTTCCGGTGCTTCTGAAGCTAAATATATTTTTAATTAGTATAAATTTTGGAGTATTTAAAGATGGTAGTATAAATTAAACCTTTTAAATAAATAAATAATTTAAAATAAATTTTCAGTGTAATTATCATAACATTCAGTGTGAGCTTTTTAACTTCTGAATTTCTTCTCATCCCTTCTGCATTTCCTTCCTCTTGTAAGAGAGTCTGACAAAGTAGAGTTAAACTTCCTTTATTCACTGTTTGTTTTGGAAGATACGTTTTTTTCTTCTTACAACACTTTCTAATCTGACTTCATTTCAGTTCCACTTCTCTACAGTAATAGGGCCTTTTCCTCATAACTACCATATCTGTGCTAACTACTTCTAGCCATGCATTTAAGTAAGAATCCAGAGGCATTATGCTCTCAGGGGTCTGGAAGCTGACATTAGTAATTAAGCATAGAAATGAGCAATGAGGAGTTGAAGATACTGCATTGCATACACTATGGATTACAGAGATGTTGTTTCCAATGAAATAGATGAAGAAATTTAAGGGCTGTCATACTAATTGTTTGGCTTATCGCCACTGTTAAATGTCTTTGTGTTGATTTTTTTTTTTTTTTTTAAACTAGACTCTGTCTACTTACAAATAAGTATGATACTTTTTGCCTTTACCCAAGCAAATTAGTGGGACATTTCATCTGCCTGTGGAAAACAGCAAATGGAGTTAGGACTGTTTGTTTCTGGGCAAGTTCTGTTTCAGTTAAATTTTCATTTGATTCAAACTTATTTTCCTGTTTTTGGCTTAGAATATGAATTGGGATGATTTAGCTGCCAAAAAAGTATCAGCTCCATTTAAACCGGTAATCAGAGATGAGTTGGATGTCAGTAATTTTGCAGAAGAGTTTACAGAAATGGATCCGACATATTCTCCTGCAGCAACCCCTCAGACTTCAGAAAGAATATTTCAGGTATTTTAAGAATTCACATTAATTTTTAAAAAATAGTTTATTGAACAATTCCATGTGTATAGCTGGCTTTTTTTTTTTTCTGCCTTCTAAGTTATTGGGAAATAACTATGTAATTTCCAATCCCAGTTCCCAGGACTGTTCAGCAATTGCATAAGGAGAAAGGTGGAAACAGTCCTACTGCGAACACAAAATTCCATGTCTCTCCATTCCCAGTTGAATGTCCTACCTGCTGGACTAGAGTCAGTCTGTCCTTTATCAATTCTTCATACCTTATGAGTCTTGTCATCTTGACTCTATCAGCCTGGGCTACCAGCTTTGACAACAGCAATGTAGTTTGCCCATATCCACATTATGCTCTAGCTGAGGAAGTGGGAAGCTAACTGCAGAGTTGAAAGTAGGTCTTCCAGGTCCTGTAGGAGTGCTCTAATTACTAGGCTACTATATACAGATCAGTAACAAACCTTTCCTTACCATCTCCTCCACGCTATTAAAAAATGATCCCTTCTTGGACTGCACAGTCTGGATGTCAAATGGGCAGAAACAGCTCATGAGCAGCCTTGAACTTGGTACCGAAGCTGCAGAGGAGACCAGCAGTTCAGATTGCTTTCTCTCCTGCCCCTCGTGCCTTGTTTTTTATTGGCTGGTTTTTAGCAGCTTAATGCTTAGTGTACAGGAATATGGCATCGTATTTTGGAAGTTGTTAGATTTGTAGTGACTGTAGCAAGCAATTTACGCTGTCATAATGCAATCTGATTCATCCTGCAGTGGTAGTCACAGCTGTTCTTGTTACAATACACAAACTGGGCACATCATTCATATGAAACTTATTTTGTTTTGCCATTTAAAATGATTTGATGCTTACATTACAACATAAAACTATTTCATGTCTTAACTTAAAGGTGTTCTGGGAAGCTTGAAGTATGAGCCTTTATCACTATTGCAAAACAATTGAAGCTGAGCCAGATTTTTAGCACCATTTACCAGATTTTTTGTATTATTATTGTTTTATCTATAACTGTGGGAGATCATATAACTAATTCCAGGTAGACACCTGTTCACGTTGAACCCATCAATGAGCCAGTTATGGTTTCTGTATTACGTTATGAAAATTCTGATTTCTTTGAAAAAATTCTTCTGAAACTTCTAATGTTTTGTATGCAGCATGATTGTTTGTGTGCAACAATTTCAAGCCATGCACTTTTCTGATGTCTTAATTTCATAGGGATATTCTTTCGTTGCGCCTTCTATTTTGTTTAAACGCAATGCAGCTACAGTAGATCCTCTTCAGTTTTATATGGGGGATGAGCGGCCTGGAACTACAACTATTGCCAGAAGTGCTATGATGAAGGTAATAATAATATCAAGAGTTGAATTAATTTGGTTAACTTGGAACTGCATATAACTTTCCAAGCAGCAATCTCAAGCTAGGCTACAGATTACAAAATGGTCATTATGCATTTATCTGTTCTCTGTAATGGCTCCTCAGATGATCCAAGCATATAATTTGCATGTGGTACTATTAAGAAGTGGTTGAAGTTTAATCTGAAAAATAAGATGATTGTGTAGTTTTCCAGAAGACTGAAGTATAGTAGTAATAGTAATTTGACTCCTGATAGTTCTTAGCCAGTCATTGTAGATATTTTTGAAGGTACTTTAATTATGTCAGAATTCCTTCCATGATGCATTTGCCCAAAAGTATGTATAGTTGTGTGAAACCTTATAAGAACACATGCTATTGTGATGTCTTCAAATGAGCATATAGTTCTGTGGATAAGTGTATGTAAAGCCATCTTTGATCCTGTTTGTCTGAATATTTTGTATCTTAAGAAGCTATTGTAGTAGTAATGATTTATTTAGTGATTATGTTTGTTTAATGTAACATAAGATTTACTGTTTACTTGTTAGAATAAAGTTTATGCATTTTATTAAATAGAAATTAAAGTTATATTTTATCAAAAAGAGAGCTCTTTTATGATTTTAAATGTAGATGAAAAATTCTCACGAAACTTTACTCTTTGTCTTTGACTGTGTATACTTAAAAGTATTCTGCAGAACTAAATACAGACAGTTTCCTAACAGGACTCTCCATTTTATCATCATTATGAACTGGATCTGAAAGAGAAACCATTGGGAGAAGGAAGTTTTTCCATTTGTCGAAAGTGCTTACACAAGAAAACTAGCCAAGAGTATGCAGTAAAAATAATTAGCAAAAGGTATAAATATTCTATAAGACAATAAAAATATTTTCTTTGCGTACTGTCACCCATGGATTAGAATAATGTTCGCTACATTTTTGGAAGTGGAAAAATAAAATCGTTTCCTATTTGAAGAATCTACAGAAACTTAGAGTAATCTTATGACTTTTAAAAGATTCACAGAGTCTTTTCAAACAAAGTGTTATTCTTACTGGGGAAGACACAAGAAGAAACCTAAAAAGTACTTTTCTGGTTCCCAGTTGTATTCTGCCCTAATTTCCCCTAATTTTGCTCCTAATCAGAGTAAGGTATAAGGCCCTCCTATCTTTAGACCTAAGTGAACTGAATGTAGGCTTATGCTAGCTCCCTTTTCTAAGCAGCGCAATTGATTGCCTAGAACGTTGCTTTTAAGAAGGATCTGTAGTGTGGGTTGCCTCAAATCTAATTGTGTGTGTTTGTGTGTATGAAATGGAATTAGACTATGGAGTTGTAAGTTGCATCTTGTTTCCTAGATGTTCTGAAGAGAACACCCGAATGGAGGCAGCTGACTTGCTTTTTACCTGGGGACCATCTGGTCCTCTTCCAGAATAGGTAGATACCTCTAGCAGTTTCTGCCCAGAGAAGCATAAAGATAAGGGATGCTTTCAGGGGTGGATGGATTTGTAGCTTCACTTTGCATTGTTCATTGGTAAATATGTCCCTAATGTGTTGTAGAATGCTGGCAGGAAAGGGAAAGGAAAGTGTAAATGTTCTGCCATCAGAATGATAGTTCACAGTGATCTCTTCTCCAAGACATTTGGCTGTACCTCTGTTTTTCCAGACTCTAGAAGTAACTGTCTGCCAGACTTAAGTGTTTCATCACGTGCTTTTGGATAGGATAAGTTCAAGAAATAAGACACCTAAATATAGATGTCTCATTTTTTTGAGGTCTGCTACGATTAATGGAGGCCTACTCAAAACTGTTAGTGGAGCCTAGAGAGGGACTTGAATGACCAGGCACTAGCAGTGGGATTCAGTAACTTAAACACAGGCATCTGCGTAGTGCCATTTTAGCATCTGTTGGTGTCCTCGCTGTCCTCCAGTTCCCATCAGTCTTGTGACTACTACCTTTATGTAGATGTCTTCACGGCTGGTATCTTCCAGGGTCTCCTGTGCTAAGGTCACTGAATCCTACTCTAGGTATGTGTTTTACAGTGAACTCGTTAACCCTGTAAGATTCATTAACCAGAATTTCACTCATTATAATGAGACTTTAGACAAGTAGTATGCAGTAGACACCTACATTGGGTATTTCAATCTGGAAATCTCTGCCTTGTGTCTACGTTCACATTTTTTTTTCTGTGGTGCATGCAGAATTGCAGATCAGTGCTCCCACCTCATCTTAAGCTACTGGATTTTTGTTTCTGGATAACAGTGAGCTAACTAGTATTGACTTTTCCCATAGAACTAAACTTTTAGGAATTGTGTTCCTACATTATGTTACTCACAGGTTCTTTTGCTCTTTCTCCTTCATCTTGGTGGACCAGGCTAAATGAAGGTCAAGAGTGATCTGTATGCACAAGTTTTTTTTAGGATTGTAGGCTATGAGCAAACTCAGAGCATGTTTGTGTGGTATTTAGAGGTAGCAGTAAACCCACACTCTGCGTGGCTGGACACAAACCAGCCTTGATTAAGAAACTGTTAAACTGTAAATAATATTGCTCTGAGGACCACGTTGGTAACTCTTGCTAAAAGGAAAATTATAATAGGTTTCTAGTAACTTCTTTGCCTCAAAGTCAGTCTTTCACTCCTACCCATCAAATATGCCAAAAAAGTTAATCCTACAACTAGGCAGACCTTTTCATGGTACTTGAGGTGAAAGCTCAGATCAAGAGTTCCTCTGTGATGTTGCTTTGTTATTAGTGCTGGACCTGCCTTCATCCAACAATGTGAGGTTTATCTGTGTGTCTGAAGGCCAGTGAAACAGTGGAGTCCTGTAAACTTGCTTGAATTAATTTTAGAGCTTCCCATTTGTTTTTCATTGTATTGAGGTTTGTTTTTTTTAAAATCTGAGATGGTAACTATTTATAGGTGGGAAATACTCAGAAAAGTCCACACACAAATTTCAAAGGTTTATGTTCATGATACTGAACACTTTTCATCTGTTTCCTAGGTCCACCTTCTCCTGGTAGTAGTTTAGGGGGGGGAAGAATGTCTGAGTCAATTTTTTAATTTCTTAAGGACCTGAAATCACTTTCAGTTTAAACAATATCAGCAGAGATGCAGATGAAACAGCTTAGTTTGCTTGTCAATTATAGGAAGCCTGCAGAAAAACAAAATTCTCTTGCATAAAATTCTCATTATGGTTCTGGTCCTAATTAGGAAAAAAAAAAAATGCAACCAGAAGTTAAAAACACGTGTGGTGAGAGAGATTCTATCTGCAGATTCTGATTCTATCTGTTCTTATTCATAAGGCCATTCTCTAAGTCAATGCAGTATTAGCCTTTCTTGGAGAGAGTTTTGGCAAAAATTTTCAGGCATTATTTGCCTGAAGTAAGTCAACATATGTATATAGCGGAAAAAGAAATGTTCTGCTCTGTCCCTATTCACATATTCACTATGTCCGCTTTTTTTTTTTCCTGTAGATTTCATTACTTGAAGGAGAAATTGTGCGATGATTTTTGCTCTGGAGCTAGTCTCTTCTTAGCTCTTCCATTTCAGATTTTTACAATGGCCTGTTTAAGGGTTCATTTGTATAACACATGTCATATATAGATGATGTAGGAGCTTATAGTTTCCATACAGCTTTGGAAGTGCTTGTCTTCTGTAAGAATGGAAAAGAATTTGGCCAATAATCTGAGTCTTCAAGATAAAGCTGAACTAACAAATATTTGTAGGAACAGAGGTGAAGTCAAATTGCCCTGGACTAAGGGAAAGGTTTGTTTTAGATAGAAACTGTTCTATAATATCATTTCAGGTTTGCTGTAGCAAGTTGCCGTTGCATCAAAAACATTGTTTGATTTGGGTGTGGTTTTTAGTGTCCTAACCTTGCAGGGTTATGTGGAGAGTTTTGCTCAGCTTACTTTGAATATGCTTTTAATTGTGTTCAAGCAGTTGTAATATTAAAAAATCTGGATTTCAAGCAATTAAAAAAATAGGTGTAACTCTTTGAATGTGCAATTTGCTCAGAAAAATGGGTAAAAAATGACTGCTTAATTTTTCCAGAATGGAAGCCAACACCCAGAGAGAAATAACAGCTCTGAAACTCTGCGAAGGACACCCAAATGTAGTGAAGTTACATGAAGTTTATCATGACCAGGTATTTTGAAGAGTCTGTAATCAACACTTGCCAAACACATTGCCATGTGTTTTCGCAAGAACTTCTAGGAGTTCAGCATACTGTTACTGTGGAGGCAACTTTTTTCTAGGGATTTTGTCTAGTCAGTATAGAAGATGAAGCAGACGTTCTGCATTCAAGGAAACTTGCAGTTATTCTAGCAAATCAAAAAAGTATTTGGAAGAATTAGAGTCCTGAATTCTGTTTCTGGTTCTGTCCTTAGTCTACTTTGTTAATTGTCACACAATATATTCATGGCCCAGTTTCTATATCTGTGATACTGAGGTACCTATTCACCTTCGCTCAGGGTTGTCATGAATTATTTCACAAATAATATTTGTGAAATAATTTGGAAATCTTGGCTATGAAGATTACATATCTAGCTATTTTTTCTTACATATCAGTAATTTAATGGAGATAACCAAGTAGCTTGCTAAATTACCAGATGTGACAGTAGAGCCTCTATTTGAAAAATATTGAGATCAGTTTAGGGTTTATTTAGAGACCGTAGTTATCTTTTCGCTTAGTGTAGTGCAAGCTCCACAGCATGTAATAAGCCATAATTTGATCTAACTTGGAGGTTGGCCCTGGTTTGAGCTAAGGGTTTGGACCAGATGTCCTGCAGAGGTCCCTTCCAACCTAAACTACTCTGTGATTCTAGTCTATGATTTAGTAACGGAACATAGGCTCTCTTGCCTCCCCACATATCCCAGTCTATCCCCATCATGCTCTTTATACAAGGACCAGCAGAGCAGTCATGTGGAGCAATTCTAAAATGAGCTAAGAGGATGAAAAATCTGTACTGTAATCTTTAAGGAATCCTTTTTTTTGCATTTATGTACATTATGAGTACATGTGTGTAGAACAGGACACTTCTTTCACTTTGCTGCGTGTAAAATGACTATACTCAGGAATATCTAAAAACAATGTTCTTCAGGTTGCTGTGCAACCGAATAGGCTACTCTCAGCCAACCAAACCATTGTATTTTTAGTTGCTCCTCGTAGCTCCCAGGTGTTATCTTCCAGCTTACTCATACACAATATTCTTAAGACCAGAACTTGATCAAAATTTTCTAGTTTTGATATTTCTGCAGTTTGTCTGAAGTTCTGATTTTTAGCTTGCTCTAATATCACTCCGATCAAATTCTGCATTAGTAGTCCAACCATCGAGTATTGGGTTGCAGTCTCTTTTGGTGAGCCACAAGAAGTTTTGTAGCAGAGAGAAGTCTATTTATCCTTTCCAACTTTCCTGTCAGCTATTCCTAAGACATAAAGAAAATTTGCAGGAGAGGTTATCTTACAAGCACTACTAGCAATGTAACTAGTAGACACATTGTTTGTTCTGAGAAGTATTACCGCTTTCTGTCTGCGTAGCTCTTTTTCTGTTCATTGATATCTAAATACTGTGCACCTTCTGCTCCTATTTCTTTGAATTTAATTTTTTGACCTCTTCCCAGAACTTTTTTTTCTTTGCTTGCAAATACTAATTTTGTTACGGTCATTCAGAGGAAGGAAATGCTAGGAGCCATCACATGCCTACATCCATTGCCTTTTGAGAATGCTAACTTCAGTTTCCTGTCCTGAGAAGTCTGCTGTTTGTTTAATGGCAAGACATTTGAATTGCAGTTGATTGTGTGCTAATGTTGTCTTATAATGTTGTCAAGGAAGTCACTGCTTATTGTCTTGAACAGAAGAACCATCTAAACAACCATTACATTTTTAATTAAAAAATACTCTTTAATGTTTGGGAAGAGGTCTATTGTGATTCTAATGATAAGAGTAGCTTTGGCTACTACTCTGTAGGGGATGAAGTCAGAAGAAATTCTAGATAATCATTGATTTCACAGTAAAGTTTCAGAGTGGTTTTAAAGGATTTGGTAATATTAAATGGCTAACTCCTTTACACATATTAATAGAAATGTATCCCTACATCAGAACAGGCTTAAACAGCCAAAGTCTAGCTTTTTCCAGCTAAAGAAATGTCTAAAGAAAGGCATTTCGTCTCCCTGCAAACTTATCCATTTACATGGAAGCATTGTGTTTTTGTAAATAAGTATGGGTGGACATGGGGAAGACACAAACATTCTTCAATCTCGGTGAGAATAATGGGGAAAATGCATCTGAGATACAACTCACTGCTTCTTATTGGCCTCCCAAATTGGTATGAGCATCAGTTTTCTTTCTTTAAACTTTGAGAGCATATGGGAATAGCACCTAGGTCCTGAATGAATGTTGGTCTGTAATGTTAAATTTCTAACTTCCCACATTTTCTTGTTTCAGCTTCACACGTTTCTAGTAATGGAATTGCTGAAGGGAGGAGAATTGCTTGAACGTATTCAGAAAAAGAAACATTTCAGTGAGACTGAAGCCAGTCATATTATGCGCAGACTTGTTTCAGCGGTGAGCCACATGCATGATGTAGGAGTAGTCCATAGAGATCTGAAACCTGAGGTATAGTGACTTGCTTATATATATTTAGACATTCAGTTATTAAGTATCTGGAATGTGACATATTTCTGTTCCTCCAGCTTTTTCTACTTCTATATTTTTAATTAAATGTTATCACTTTATCTACAGAATTTGCTAAGTAATTTTTCTGTTCATAGGTAAAAGTAACTGCTAGGAAACATCTTCAATTTTGTAAGCAGTTTACACTCTAACTTGTTCAAAAACATTCTTTGCCTATTTGGGGACAGTTTTTACTAGTGGTAAGGATATATTTATTGTATGAAACAGTTCTCCTGTAGCTGTATGAAACAGCTACTCCTTTTGTATCTGGAGTTTAAAATGATCCACCATTCCTACCAATGTTTCATCCTTTTATAACATAACTTCTGGTATATTACAGGCATACTTGTTTTATAGTAATTCCAGTTCAACGGGTAAAGAAGTCTGCTAGGTGTTGGTATTTTAAACTGTTTTTGAAAATCAGTCCAAAATAAATGCATTTGAAAACGTCTCTGTACTGGAGTCTCTGTACTAAATAATTAAATAAAGAGGGGCTATTGTGAAATTCTACTGTGTCAGTTGAAAATGTGACTCTTGGAAAAAGTTCCTCTGCTGACATAATCAAGGAAAGAAACCAGCTTTTGAAACAAGTCATTATTAAAAGGATAAAATCCAGAAATCCTTTCTCTCTTCCCATTCTCATCATTTTAGTCTTATTGCCATCTTGAACGTAAAGGCCAGATTCTGTAAAGCAGAGCTTCAGCTGCATGGTAAATTAGGCAGCCTTCAATTCTACGTCATGTTCAAGGACAGAAGTCTGGGAAGTCCAAGTAATGAAGGGGTAGCAAACAGCTTGCAGAATGCATTGCCTCCACAAAGTTCGACTTAACCAGCCTGTCTCCTTCCTGCTTGTTGTTTGGAAAGTTACTATTTTAGGTTTAGACATGAACTTAGTATGGGATATGCAGGCTTCCCAATATAGATGTGGTTAGTGCACCTTTCTGTAAAAAGATATATACGAAATTCTGCTGGTTTTCTAACAATTCCAGTCACATTTATTTGATGTTCAACTTTGACATCTAATGTGATACTGATAAGTCTATTTTAAAAAATATGGCTGGTTACATGTCACTAAGGATGAGGCTTTTTTTAATTGCATGGACTGGAAGAAACTTCTGTTCAAGCAATAGTAATTAGATCATGTATCTTGCCCTGAAAAATAGAGGAACAGTACTGGATAGAAAATAGAGAATTCAGAGAAATAAAGAATTCCTGTAGCATATGTGACCATTTGGAGCCTCTCAGTAGAGGATTTGAGGACTGTTTCTGCTAAGTGATCATTAGTCTGTAAACTGTGTTCTAAAGATACTAGAAAAAATATACCAAGGCAGAGATGATGATGTTTATATATCCTTAAAATATTTGTGGAATATAGCTTTAAGTGTGGGTTTCTGTGAAACACATTTTATTTACCTAATCAACAAGGTAGTCTGAACCCAACTTAGAACATTTGGACTGTACCTTTCTTTCTGTACATAAGCAATTTCATTTTTGTCTTGAGAAAGGAGGTCTTGTTAAACCATTGTTACTGCAGTTCTTTACTTGTTGGCTATATAATATTACCATAGAAAACAGATGATTGTATTAATCACCTATCCTCATTGTATTAATATTTTTTTCTGAAGTTAAGCTTCCTTCAGATCCATTTTGCACATTTTAATATGGAAAACTGACTTTTCTGATTGTGCATTGAGGTATAATAGCAGTACAGAATGCAGAAATACCGTTTTGTAGGAGCTATTCTCTTTTGTCCTTAATGAATGCCCTCAGGTTCTCCTTATTGATCTACTTGCAGTCTAGCAAACATTTTTTCCCCTTCTTAATGAGTTCAAAATTAATTGCTTTGGTTGAGTCATTCACCTTTTGTATTACAAAATGGCATAGGGCTATAGGATTTCTAATAGTGAGACTTTTTCCAGCATTACATAGATTAAACAACAAAAGCAACAGCAAAATTTTGCTGTCTTTTCTCAGAAGTTCAAGAGGGGAGTAGAAATCATTTATAATTCATCTTGGCTTCAGCCGGTTCTCCTAAGACTTAGCTTTGCTCTTGTGTCTTTCTTGAGAAATATAGCTACTCAGGGAAAAGAAGAACAGATTGTCCTAAATCCTCTGAACTGATGACAACTTGTCTGTCTTCGAGTCAGAGATGCCCCATTCCAGTCTGTAAAGCCAGAATTCTCAGGGACTACTGTATCAAAATTTCTTTACTGTGGTGTCAGAAGACCATTGGTTTGAGGTTGGACTGCTATGTGATTGTCAGTGCTTGAATGCTGTTGGTCCAGGTCTCTTCCAGAAAGCATATCTATGCTGACTTTGAGATCCGTGCCAGACAGCAGTCAGTACAACGGCTGAGCTATTGGTGCACTTGCTAGTCCACCATCCTTCGCTTTCAATTATTCTTTTGCATTACTCTGCTGATGGCAATATGGTTTCAGTGTGTTACCACTTGAGGACCAACGACTATTCAGTCGTAAGATGAGACATGCAAGAAGACTCCCACAGACAAGAAAGCAGTCATTCGCAATGTGCCAGAAGGAAGTGGAAGCTTAAGAACATTTACATTTGTTTGAGGAAGAAGGCAATTCTCCATTTATTTTTAAGTCTTTGCTTTTTTCTTTTCAGTGTTCCCTTAATTATTTTCTGCACTGTTCTCTGCTAAATACCCATTTTCATTAATAATCTCAGACAGAACTATCCTGACTTGCAGATAGACAGGAGGCAGATAAACACATGATATTTTCTTACATCCCAGAGTACTGTTACTTCTACTTTTCCATTTTTTTTCCCAGTGTGTCCCTGTTCCCCTTTTCTCTAGATAATGGGAAGTTTTCTGTAGTAATAAATGTAGG